CTACAGTTTTATTTATCTTCTTCATTTTCCAACACACGAATATTTGAACTTCCATAATCGTATGTCCATCATATATCAGTAGATTATTGGACTCAAGTCGGCAAAAGAGTTGATGTAACTGTACAGCATCGTGGGACTTGGGTTGTTTTGTTTTGTTTTGTGGGTTAATTTGTTTCAGAAGAAAATGGAAGATATTAATTTGACCTCAGGTTTTCCCCAAAAGCCTATTGTCCGTGGAGCTTGCTGGGTTTCTTGAAAATACTCTAATGTGAAAAACCTTCATTGTTCGGCTCTTCATTTCACAGAAATACATTGCATGGGTTGAAGAAGAGGCTGAAGACATAGCCCCAGAATATTATACAAATAATTACTCTTGACGAAGGGGTCGGGTCCTCGGGTACAATGACCTCGTCAAGAGTAATCATTCATTTCGGTATACCGAAATTCACTTTAAAGTGCAAATTTCTTTTGCATATCACACGTGACCAGAATTTTACCTTGTTTGTGCATACTCAGGCGCAGTGGTGACTTAGCATAAATCACTGCCACAGGCTAATTCGCATATCACGTGACTGTACTTTTCTCTTTCTTGTGAACAAAAACGCTTATTCTGAAATCAGAACAGACTGGCCTGTTGCAAGTATTTTGAGGCGCTTTTCATATTGTTTTCCATTATTATATAGATACGCTACTACTACTGCGACAGTGAGGTGCATGACAATATATATATATGCATCAAAGTGACCGTATTGCTAGCTCTCCATAGGGCTTCGATGACAGCACGTGGGGTCTTCAGCCAATGTGGAAAACTACGCAAATGGAAATAGTTTTTCACGTTTTAGGATATTTTCTTAATAAAAGTTAACCATTCTTTGATATATGTGTATCTAGATGTGTACATTGACAATGAGTGTCACCCTCATTCTGTAAACAGTAAACATGTCTCCGTGTGTCACACTCCTGTGTGTTAACATGTCTATGTGTACACTACCCATTGTGTTAACACGACTGTGTTTCATACTCATTCTATTAACATGTATATGTTTGTCCCACTCATTCATTTAACGTGTATCCATTTGTCCCACTCATTCCGTTAACATGTCTCTGTGTGTCCCACTCATTTCGTTAACGTGTATCTATGTGTCGCACTCAGTGTGATAACATGTCTCCATGTGTCGCAGTCAGAGTGTTAACATGTCTCCATGTGTCGCACTCAGAGTGTTAGCATGTCTCCATGTGTCGCAGTCAGAGTGTTAGCATGTCTCCATGTGTCGCAGTCAGAGTGTTAGCATGTCTCCATGTGTCGCAGTCAGAGTGTTAGCATGTCTCCGTGTCTAGCAGTCAGAGTGTTTACATGTCTCCATGTGTCGCAGTCAGAGTGTTAGCATGTCTCCATGTGTCGCAGTCAGAGTGTTAGCATGTCTCCATGTGTCGCAGTCAGAGTGTTAACATGTCTCCATGTGTTACAGTCAGAGTGTTAGCATGTCTCCATGTGTCGCACTCAGAGTGTTAGCATGTCTCCATGTGTCGCAGTCAGAGTGTTAACATGTCTCCATGTGTCGCAGTCAGAGTGTTAGCATGTCTCCATGTGTCGCAGTCAGAGTGTTAACATGTCTCCATGTGTCGCAGTCAGAGTGTTAGCATGTCTCCATGTGTCGCAGTCAGAGTGTTAGCATGTCTCCATGTTTCGCATTCAGTGTGTTATCGTCTCACCGTATGTCACACTCATTGGCTTAATAACATGTCTCCGTGTGTTGCAGTCAGAGTGTTAGCATGTCTCCATGTGTCGCACTCAGTGTGTTAACATGTCTCCATGTGTCGCAGTCAGAGTGTTAACATGTCTCCATGTGTTGCAGTCAGAGTGTTAACATGTCTCCATGTGTCGCAGTCAGAGTGTTAACATGTCTCCATGTGTCGCAGTCAGATTGTTAACATGTCTCTGTGTGTCGCACTCAGAGTGTTATCATGTCTCCATGTGTCGCAGTCAGAGTGTTAGCAGGTCTCCATGTGTCGCACTCAGAGTGTTACCATGTCTCCATGTGTCGCATTCAGTGTGTTAACATGTCACCGTATGTCACACTCATTGGCTTAAAAACATGTCTATGTGTGTGTCACACTCATTGGGTTAACGTTTCTTCGTTTCTTCACTCAGTGTGTTAACATCTTTCCGTGTGTCTGATTGATTTTGTTAACGTGTCTCCGAGTGTTGCACTGATTCTGTTAACATGTCTTTGTATTGTGCACACTGTGTGTTACATTCAGTGTGTTAAAATGTCTGAGCGTATCGCACGCATTCTGTTAACATGTCTCCATGTGTCGCACTGATTATGTTAACATGTCTCCGTGTGTCGGACTGATTGTGTTAACATGTCTCTGTGTGTCGGACTGATTGTGTTAACATGTCTCCGAGTGTCACACTCATTCTGTTAACATGTCTCCGTGTGTCGGACTGATTGTGTTAACATTTGTCCGTGTGTCGGACTGATTGTGTTAACATGTCTCCGAGTGTCACACTCATTCTGTTAACATGTCTTCGTATTGCGCACACCTTATATTGCACTCAGTGTGTTAACATGTCTGTGCGTATCGCACGCATTCTGTTAACATGTCTCCGTGTGTCGGACTGATTGTGTTAACATGTCTTCGAGTGTCACACTCATTCTGTTAACATGTCTCCGTGTGTCGAACTGATTGTGTTAACATGTCTCCGAGTGTCACACTGATTGTGTTAACATGTCTCCGAGTGTCACACTGATTGTGTTATCATGTCTCCGTGTGTCGGTCTGATTGTGTTAACATGTCTCCGAGTGTCACACTCATCCTGTTAACATGTCTTCGTATTGCGCACACCTTGTATTGCACTCAGTGTGTTAACATGTCTGTGCGTATCGCACGCATTCTGTTAACATGTCTCCGTGTGTCGGACTGATTGTGTTAACATGTCTCCGTGTGTCGTACTCATGGTGTTAACGTGTCTCCGTGTGTCACACTCATTGTGTTAACATGTTTCCATGTGTCACACTCATTCTGTTTACGTGTTTGTATGTGTCGGACTCATTGTGTTAATGTTCACTGTCGCACACTGCGCATTTCCTCATAACACAATCTACTCCTGACAACCTTCTCCGGAACAACGTTTAACGATGACTCATTGTTCACCAATTGTGTGACCTTAAAATTTAATATGATGAAACACTTCACTAGAGAAACGTAAATTACATATAAATCCTTAATACAGTCATTCCGTAAATGTAAAATATCTATTCACAATTTAAAAATAAACTTTCTGAAAACAGGATCCGTTGTACAGTAGTCTGGTTGTGTACAGAGTGTGATTGTGGTTAAATGTAAGATTCGTATCATATTATATTGAAGTGTAAAACAAATACCTGTTGTTACGAAATAAGGATTTACCCATTACTGCTCGTCCTTATAATGTAAATAAGACCTTGTAAGTATTTTACAGTCATAGCAGCAAAGTACAATCACAACTGTTGCTATTCACTAAAACCATGTATTCAAGGTGTAACACTGCAGTTGTGTTGAGTTATGTCCCTTGTAAACACTTTTATGTACGCTTCATGAATTTATGTTTACTGTTCAGAACAGGAGGCTAAAGTTATTGCATTGTATTTGTACTTTTAGCTATTGTGTCCTACAACTGAATAAACATGCCTGTGTGTTTGTCTGTTTGTCTATCTGACTGTCTTTACGTCGTATGTACAAACAGGACATATTTCTTCTTGAGATTAGCACGTGAACAATCACATGGTGCGAGTATGACTTTGAGAGTAAACTTGCCCTTTGGTGTAGGTCACAGGTACGAGCGCGTGTTTATTATCAGTTAGCTCCCTCGACAAGCATGTGATACTTAGGGCATTTAGTTGAAGTAGAGATCATAGATATAAGTACTCCCTTAGGCCAAGAATTATTCGTCAGTCTTGCAAAGTGAGAAGTGAAAAAACGGAAGAATTGCAGTATTGAGAACTAAAAAATTCAAATGATATTTGGCAATATATTTTGATTAGAAAACGTGATGAAAATGCAGATTTTAAATTTTAGGAGCAAGAGAGAATGTACAGTCATCATTTGCATCACAATGGGGAGGAGACCCTGTTATCGTGGATTGCTGTGATGAACTAAACCATGCGTTGTTTTAATAAGGGCGACCACTTCTTACATCTAATATATGTGAATACAGTACAAGGAAAGTGCAGTGTTTAAGTATATGCTGCTACATACTTAGATCAGCAATGATAGGACTGTATTCCACATCAGGTAAGTTGAGATAACCTGGTGCTCTTTGCACCCGGGACATGGTAACACTGACTGTGTAATGAGGGGGGGGGGGGGGGGGGGAAGGGGGGGGGAAGGGGGGGGGGGGGGGGACTTGGGTTGTTTTATTTAGTTTTGTGGGTTAATTTGTTTCAGAAGACAATGGAAGTTATTAATTTGACCTCAGGTTTTCCCCAAAAGCCTATTGTCCGTGGAGCTTTCTGGGTTTCTTGAAAATATTCTAATGTGAAAAACCTTCATTCTTCGGCTCTCCATTTCACAGAAATACATTGCATGCTTTGAAGCAGAGGCTGAAGACATAGCCCCAGAAACTTAAAATGAGTGAGTGATGAAAATGCAGATTTTAAATTTTAGGGGCAAGAGAGAATGTGCAGTCATATTTTGATTCACAATGGGGAGGAGACGTCGATATCATGGATTGCTGTTATGAACTAAACCATGCGTTATTTTAATAAGGATAACCACTTCTTACATCTAATATATGTGAATACAGTACAAGGAAAGTGCAGTGTTTAAGTATATGCTGCTACATACTTAGATCAGCAATGATAGGACTGTATTCCACATCAGGTAAGTTGAGATAACCTGGTGCTCTTTGCACCCGGGACATGGTAACACTGACTGTGTAATGATAACCCAATATGTGTATACATGTACGTGTACCTCACGCCAGCCAGTTAGTAGTAGAACACGTCGTGTCATACATTCTGAGAATGGCCGAGTTTAAATGTCTTTCCTGGTTGCTGACATGTACCTACCTGATCTGTGTTTGTAACTGCCAGGACAGTATTGTGTCTGTCATACAAAAAATGGACCAGTTTGAGGAAGATCTGTTTCATAACAAGGAGGACATGATCCGTATGGAGAAAAGGATACGAAATATCATAGATGTCGCTGAGACATCATTGAGAGCTGAATTGAAGGAAAACATACGGGATCAGGTGAGAGAAGCCATGGCCGAGATTCTACAAGGGGAGTCTCTTCAAGACATGGTGAAAAGTCAGGTCGTCTCTGAATTGCGGCATCTGAAACAGGGCTACCATCAGATGAAGAGACAGTTGCTTCATGTCTCAAGATCCCTCAAAGACTTCCAGGACGAGTCGGGTGAATTTCATGAATCTGTGCTGAAGAAAGCAGATGTGTGGAATCGAGAAAACTCAAGTGATACATGTGTCAGAGATAAACACAGACTGGAAATAGAACTACGGAACAGGGATATTTGTGCTGCTGATCTCCAGAAAAATATTGAACGATTCATGGTATTGAACGAGACATGCCAGTCCCAAATATCACAACTCAAAACAGCTCTTGCTGTGCCTGCTTCATCCCCCGCCCCTGTAAATGTCACCTCAACCCCCAAATCTCCAGTGTCAACCACGTCAGTGACGACACCCAGGCCAGAGGAGGAGAGAAGTAGGATCCTGATTGCTCCAGGCTGGTCATCCACCCAGCACCAGTTCCGTCAACTCAACATTCACAATAACTCACTTAGTGTCTATCAGTATCACACCATGAAGCGTGTGACATGTGTTGCATTCGTAGCAAAGACAAAGAAACTTCTGATAGGATTATGGAGCCCTGTTAAGATAATGTCATCTACACTGGATACAATTCACGTCGCGGTGCTGAGAGAAGGTGTACATACATATGGCATGGCAGTGGATGAAGATCGGGACATTGTATTCATAGCCGCAGATAAACCACAAATGTCAATCAGTCGCATGTCTACACAGGGTAAAGACTTTACTGCCATCATTGACTTATCCAAGTACGGAAGCAATACAAGGCAAATATCACTTGACACAAGGAGAAAGAGGATATATGGGTGTAATCACGGGAAACTGTTCACTATGACCTATGATGGTCAAGGTCTGGCAACATTAGCCACAGGAAGTAGGATGTATGCTGTAACCCTAGATCAGACAGCTGGTGTGTTGTATTATAGCATTGAGAAGAAACTGATGAAGATGACAGTGTCCACTAATGTGAGTACAGAGGTGACCACACTGAGCGCCTTTCCCTGGAACATGAGACTGTATAGAGGCACCATCTACTTCAGTTGCTATAGTTCTCCTATTGTAGGTGCAGTGGATGTGACATACAACACTGTTGCATACACTCTCAAGTCATTATCCATGAAGGGGGCTGGTGCTTTACTTATGTGTTTGATTCCCTGAATGCTACAATGGGTATTCTACTATGAATTTGGAAAATACTCAATTCAGTAGTTTTGAATCACAAAAAACAACTCTATTAAAAGAGCTGATTTGGCAGCAACCTCACGACGGAAACTGATATTAAAAGAAGTACAGACTTTTTTCTCAGTCATTGTTGGTAGACATTTTGAAATAATTAAATGTACAAATATACATTACAATGTGCAGATGTGCGGTCATGCAGAGCACGAGTTGCAATAGATATTGGAAGGAACACGATGGAAACCGACTGAGTGAGTGTATTTCAAGTTTTGGGGACAACAGTGAGCTTGAAATTAGGTGCTTTTCTATATCCGACTGTGACGTCACATCATTTGCTTCACAATGAGCGATGTGACATCATAATTGTGACGTGCTGTGTATATTAACACACAGTACGTTTATGAGCTCCTTCCCAGCGCGTGACACCTTCGTTACACACTCGGTAACATCGCGATAGTTTAGGGAGCTCCTCGAATGGGCTATCGCTGTGAGGAGCATGTACGTTTATCTCTTATTCTATTATAAATTTGGAAATAACTCGGTTCTGATTGGTCAATCAGAGGTTGTCAAATCACAATAAATTTCTGATTGAAACAGCCGATTTGACGGCCGCATCACCACGGGAGATAATATTAATAGAATAGTCGTTTATTTGAAGTCGGCAAAAGAGTTGATATAACTGTACAGCATCGTGTCCCTGATATAGTGATTTGGGGATTATGGGTTTGATATAAAATTCAGTTTAGGTTGTAAAGTCAGTGATATGTACTGTAAGATTTTATCAATAAATACATTTTCATAGTTCCATTGCTATTATCCGTTTTTCCAACTTACACAAAACAATGCAAGCTTTTGTAAGAAATACCTCTGCTGACGCTAAGGCACCCACCGTCTTTATATTCTGGAATGGGACTTGGGTTGTTTTTGAGCTAATAACTTGTTCTAGGAAAAATGGAAGATATTAATTTGACCTCAGTCTGTCCCAAGAAACAGTTGTCTGTGGAGCGTGCTGGGTTTCTTGGAGATACTCTTATGTGAAAAACTGTCATTGTTCGACTCTTCATTTCTCAAAAATACATTGCATGGTTTGAAGCAGAGGCTGAAGACATAGCCCCAGAACATTATACTAATACTTACTCTTGACGAAGGGGTCGGGTTCTCGGGTACAGTGACCTCGTCAAGAGTAATCATTCATTTCGGTATACCGAAATTCACTTTAAAGTGCAAATTTGCATATCACACGTGACCAGAATTTTACCTTGTTTGTGCACACTCAGGCGCAGTGGTGACTTAGCATAAACCACTGCTACAGGCTAATTCGCATATCACGTGTCCGGACTTTTCCCTTTCTTGTGAACAAACACGCTTATTCTGAAATCAGAACAGACTGGCCTATTGCAAGTATTTTGAGGCGCTTTTCATATTGTTTATCATTATTATATAGACGCTACTACAACTGTGACCGTGAGGTGCATGACAATATATATGTATACATCAAAGTGGCCGTATTGCTAGCTCTCCATAGGGCTTCGATGACAGCACGTGGAGTCTACAACCAATGTGGAAAACTACGCAAATGGAAATAGTTTTTCACGTTTTAGGATATTTTCTTAATGAAAGTTAACCATTCTATGATATATGATTATCTAGATGTGAAAATTGAAAATGAGTGTCACCCTTATTGTGTTAACATGTCTTTGTGTCGCACTCCTGTGTTAAACACAATTAGTGGGACACACATAAAAATGTTAAAACAATGATGGGGACATACAGTCATGTTAACACAATGGGTGTGGCACACATAGACATGCTAACACACTGAAAGTGACAAAAGTATACATGTTAACACAATAAGTGGTACATACAGTCATGTTAACACAATGGGTGTGGCACACATAGACATTATAACATACTGACTGTGACACACATATACATGTTAACACAATGAGTGTGACATACGGGCACAAGTTAACACAATTGGTGTGACACACATATACATGTTAACACACTGACCGTGACACACATATACATGTTAACACAATGAGTGTGACATACAGCAACAAGTCAACACAATTGTCGTGACACTCATATACATGTTAACACAATGAGTGTAACAAACCATCAATTTAACACAGGAGTGGGTCACACAGTCATGTTAACACAATGAGTGTAACACAACATCAATTTAACACAGGAGTGGGTCACACAGTCATGTAAACACAATGGGTGTAACACGGTCATTTTAACACAGGAGTGGGTCACACAGTCATGTTAACACAATGGGTGTAACACGGTCATTTTAACACAGGAGTAGGTCACACAGTCATGTTAACACAATGGGTGTAACACGCTCATTTTAACACAGGAATGGGTCGCACAGTCATGTTAACACAATGGGTGTAACAAACCATCAATTTAACACAGGAGTGGGTCACACAGTCATGTTAACACAATGGGTGTAACACCATCAATCTAACACAGGAGTGGGACACACAGTCATGTTAACACAATGGGTGTAACACGGTCATTTTAACACAGGAGTGGGTCAAACAGTCATGTTAACACAATGGGTGTAACACGGTCATTTTATCACAGGAGTGTGACGAAAAGGACATGTTAACACAATGAGTGTGCCAAACATTATGTCAACATGTATCCAAATCATTGTGTTAACATGTCCCCGTGAGTCACACTCATTGTGTCAACATGTGTCTGTGTGTCACGCTCAGTATGTTAACATGTCTATGTTTGCCATACCCATTGTGTTAACACGACTGTGTGTCACACTCATTCTATTAACATGTATATGTGTGTCCCACTCATTCATTTAACGTGTATCCATTTGTCACACTTATTCCGTTAACATGTCTATGTGTGTCCCACTCAGTGTGTTAACGTGTATCCATGTGTCGCACTTCGTGTGTTAAGAAGTATCCTTGTATCGCACTCAGTGTGTAACATGTCTCCATGTGTCGCACTTCGTGTGTTAAGATGTATCCTTGTGTCGCAGTCAGTGTGTGAACATGTCTCCATGTGTCGCAGTCAGAGTGTTAGCATGTCTCCATGTGTCGCATTCAGTGTGTTAACGTGTCACCCTATGCCACACTCATTGGCTTAATAACATGTCTCTGTGTGTCGCAGTCAAAGTGTTCACATGTATCTGTGTGTCGCACTCAGTGTGTTAACATGTCTCCATGTGTCGCACTCAGAGTGTTAGCATGTCTTCATGTGTCGCAATCAGAGTGTTAACATGTCTCCGTGTGTCGCAGTCAGAGTGTTAACATGTCTCCATGTGTCGCAGTCAGAGTGTTAACATGTCTCCGTGTGTCGCAGTCAGAGAGTTAACATGTCTCCATGTGTCGCACTCAGAGTGTTAGCATGTCTCCATGTGTCGCATTCAGTGTGTTAACATGTCTCCGTGTGTCGCAGTCAGAGTGTTAACATGTCTCTGAGTGTCGCACTCAGAGTGTTAGCATGTCTCCATGTGTCGCAGTCAGAGTGTTAACATGCCTCTGTGTGTCGCACTCAGAGTGTTAACATGTCTCCATGTGTCGCAGTCAGAGTGTTAACATGTCTCCGTGTGTCGCAGTCAGAGAGTTAACATGTCTCCATGTGTCGCACTCAGAGTGTTAGCATGTCTCCATGTGTCGCATTCAGTGTGTTAACATGTCTCCGTGTGTCGCAGTCAGAGTGTTAACATGTCTCTGAGTGTCGCACTCAGAGTGTTAGCATGTCTCCATGTGTCGCAGTCAGAGTGTAAACATGCCTCTGTGTGTCGCACTCAGAGTGTTAGCATGTCTCCATGTGTCGCAGTCAGAGTGTTAACATGTCTCCGTGTGTCGCAGTCAGAGTGTTAGCATGTCTCCACGTGTCGCAGTCAGAGTGTTAACATGCCTCTGTGTGTCGCACTCAGAGTGTTAGCATGTCTCCATGTGTCGCAGTCAGAGTGTTAACATGTCTCCGTGTGTCGCAGTCAGAGAGTTAACATGTCTCCATGTGTCGCACTCAGAGTGTTATCATGTCTCCATGTGTCGCGTTCAGTGTGTTAAAATGTCTCCGTGTGTCGCAGTCAGAGTGTTAGCATGTCTCCATGTGTCGCATTCAGTGTGTTAAAATGTCTCCGTGTGTCGCAGTCAGAGTGTTAACATGTCTCTGAGTGTCGCACTCAGAGTGTTAGCATGACTCCACGTGTCGCAGTCAGAGTGTTAACATGCCTCTGTGTGTCGCACTCAGAGTGTTAGCATGTCTCCATGTGTCGCAGTCAGAGTGTTAACATGTCTCCGTGTGTCGCAGTCAGAGAGTTAACATGTCTCCATGTGTCGCACTCAGAGTGTTATCATGTCTCCATGTGTCGCGTTCAGTGTGTTAAAATGTCTCCGTGTGTCGCAGTCAGAGTGTTAGCATGTCTCCATGTGTCGCATTCAGTGTGTTAACGTGTCACCCTATGCCACACTCATTGGCTTAATAACATGTCTCTGTGTGTCGCAGTCGAAGTGTTAACATGTATCTGTGTGTTGCACTCAGTGTGTTAACATGTCTCCATGTGTCGCACTCAGAGTGTTAGCATGTCTTCATGTGTCGCAATCAGAGTGTTAACATGTCTCCGAGTGTCGCAGTCAGAGTGTTAACATGTCTCCATGTGTCGCAGTCAGAGTGTTAACATGTCTCCGTGTGTCGCAGTCAGAGAGTTAACATGTCTCCATGTGTCGCACTCAGAGTGTTAGCATGTCTCCATGTGTCGCATTCAGTGTGTTAACATGTCTCCGTGTGTCGCAGTCAGAGTGTTAACATGTCTCTGAGTGTCGCACTCAGAGTGTTAGCATGTCTCCATGTGTCGCAGTCAGAGTGTAAACATGCCTCTGTGTGTCGCACTCAGAGTGTTAGCATGTCTCCATGTGTCGCAGTCAGAGAGTTAACATGTCTCCGTGTGTCGCAGTCAGAGAGTTAACATGTCTCCATGTGTCGCACTCAGAGTGTTAACATGTCTCCATGTGTTGCA